ACATGTCTTGTTCCCCTTAGTTTCTCTTCTCGCTTCTGCAACCTACATGTGAAACAATTACACGCTAAGTCTATGACTTAGTGAGGCATTAATGTATAAAAGTAACTCTAACTACTTAACCATGCATATACATAGCATATCATACTATCACCCACAACAATATAACATCACATATAGTCAACTGTACACATATACACATCATTCATCATTTCCATCATTAACCTTATTTCAATATCAATATAATTATCATTTATATCTTGTAATCATATCTTTTTTATACCTAACGTTTTTAACCAACATGACTCATTTAACTACATAATATACATATCATCATTTAAATCATATAATATAATTTATTTCACCAAAAGCATACATATCATATATCATATATTTATTATTATCTCTTTGTTAGCTCATGTACATATGTGAGAACTATATATATGTAAGCCTATTGAGGTTGTGCACTATGCTGTCACTACAACTCGTATGGGGTCCCACTAGGGGCATGTGAAATTTATCCCGAAGAACCACTGTATATGTCTCGAAGGACCACTGTATATGTCCCGAAGGACCACTGTATATCCCTCGACTCTTGGCATGCCAACTATACCTCTAGCTTTCTTTACACATAACATAGGCATTAGCATTATATCATTTCACATATTCATATAAACACGTAGTTCACTGTCACATATCACGTAGCATATGTCGCATAACTTGTATCACATATACACATTAATATCACATGTTCATATAAGCTCATAACTTCTTTCACATTTACATGTAATCATGTAGCTTCTTTTCACGTAGTTCATGTCACTTTTCATATCATTAATTTATCACATATAACATGGCTTAATATATGTTTGTATTCTTTTTCACCTAATCACATCTACCTCTTCTCATATATCTCATACATAATCTCTATCATATATACATTCCTTCACTTATCTTATAGTTATGTATCATATTACATAATTTAACTTATATCATATTATCATGTGTATATATATCATGGACACTTAACATGTATCATATAAACATGTATTCACACATATCATTAGCATATGCAACAATCAATAACACACATGTAACATATCAAACATATGCTCATATTAACGAATTCATGCATTTTACTATAGGAAATAGACTTGTCACAAGTCTTATTTCCATTAAACATAATACACTATCTAATATGCACTCACCTTGGCCTCACTTGCTATCAATTACTTCTATGGCTTATTTTATCTTCTTGATCAATTCTAACCTTTCAATCATTACAGAACTTGCTCTCGATCGATATCTACACAATCATGTATACATATTAGCATTCTAAATACTATGATTCGATCCTTGATTTCTTAAGCTATAAGAAAGATCTACTTCTATTTTTTTTCCTTTGAAGTGCATCGGTACACTCTGTAGTATTTGTATCGATGCATTAACTATACATTGATACACAATTTGCATTCGATGTTCCATTTTTAAGGGGTGCATCGATGCACTTCCTGTGCATCGATACACACTGAACAATTTCTGGAAATTTACCCTTGATGCATCAGTACATGTTGAATCTGTACCGGTGCACACTAGTCCAGAATTCATATTTAAACCCGAAAATTCATTATTTTCAACTTTAATTCTTCATGTTTTATCCCCTTTTTATATACTAAATTCAAATACACATACTTAAACCCATTTGAACTCATTTATCACCCTTTTAAATCTCAAAATCCTATCTTCCATATGTAATTCAAGAATTACACCAAATTTGCAGCATGTTCTAAATCAAATTCTATCACTTCATATCTCTTAATTATATTGATGACAAGTCAAATTTAACTTCCAATTCTAATTATGAACTTTATTCCAAGTTTTCATTCAAGAGCTTCTAATCTTTAATCTCTCATAACTCCATCATCCTTTATATTTAAGATAATATAAGCTTTCCTTAAGCTTAATTATCATCCAATAATCATAAACCAGCTTTAATTTCAAAAAACAATCAACTAACCACAAAACTCACCTTTGATATGATGACTCACGGCTGAAGAAGAAGAGAACTCTGGAAGTTTGTTTTACCTTCTTTTCTCTTCCACGTGGGCTTCCTTATCTTATAAAGGAAAATAAAAATCTTTCATGTCAAATGACCATTTTTCCCTTTACTTCATCTAATAATTACTAACAATGATGCATAAAATATCTTCAAGTAAGCCATTGAACTATTCAATTACCCTACTTTAATCACCAATTTTTGAAAATTTTCAATTTAGTCACTAACCCGGTATTGAGGATGTTACAAACCCGATTCGACCAGAACCTAATTTTTTTAAAAAAAAAATCTGACCCGAATACCAAAAGATTGATGAGGGTAATATGGTCAAATTTCACATTCCCTCCTCCAAAGGATTTCAATTCCATCATGTTATGGATGGAATTTACTTTCCCTTTCTTGATGGAATTTGACATTCCATAAACAAAAAAGGTCACCAGTAGATTGGTTATCAACGCGTGGCTTTCACGCATCGGCGGAAATGGAGAGGAATCATATTTTTGATGATTTTGCCCTATTTCAGGAAAGAAATTCTTCTATAAAACACGTAAGATCAAATGCCAAAGGAAACAATCACCAAGTCAACCCAATGAAAACGGAATCAAATCAAAAGCTAGACATTAACAAGCAAATCAAAGTAAGAAAGACAACCAAGATCAATACAAATCAACAAACAGAGCAACAAGACCGAATCTCAAATCAAATCGAGAATGAAATAGGCTTTTTGTTTGGTTAAAGTAAATCAAAGCAAAAAAAGTAAAAAAAACCCCCAAGTCACAACGATGCTAATGGTTCATCTTCATCCGATTTAAAATTACTCAAACCCTATATAAACCTTGTAAGGAAAAGAGAAACGACATCAACAACCAAACAATTTCAAGCATAAAATACACACAAAATGAGAAAAGTGAGACATTGTTTCTTAGCTCGTGTTTTGTTTACCGTTGGAAGAAAGAGTAATCGTCAAAAAGCTGAAGAATAATCGAGAGCTCGAATGGTCATCAAAATCGAAGGTAAACGACGAGCCTTCTCCTTTAGATCTAACTCAAGGGAGAGGTCTTTTGGTGATTTGGTTGGTGGATCTGAGTTTGTGGTGTAAAGAGGGTTCATTTGGGCTAAGGGGTTAAGGGCTCCGTCCACCATGAACGGTGGTCTGAGTAGTGATCCAGGCGGTGTGGCGTCGTCGAGGACAGGCCGGTGAGGGGAGGGATTTTGAGAGAGTAGAGAGTTTTTGTGTGAGTTTTTTTTAAGGATGAATGAAAATGAAATAAAAGAAGAAGGGTAAAGGCCTATTTATAGCGAGGGCCAATATGCAAGTAGCAAAATCTTAAATTCTTTTTGTAGACTTTGTACTTTTGAAGCGTAATTCGATTTGATCCCTTATTGTAATTTGGCTACTTGATTTTTAATGCAATTTGATCCCTAATTTTTTTACTCTTTTTATTTTAAATTGGTACCTTGACTTTTTTTTTGTTTTTGCATCATTTAATTATCTATTTTGATTTTATTATTTTTTGTCAATTTTATTTCTTTTAAAGGAACCAGTCTAAATCTCAAACATTTATCAAGGGTAAGTAATTCGGATCGAAATTTCTTTAAATTTTTATTGAATTTTAATTTTCACAAGTAAGACAACCGAGTAATCGAATGATACTAAAAGGGCAATTTGAGGATGTTCATCATTCCTCGATTGTAAAAGACTTCTGAATTCGATAAATTTCTAGTAAGACGCAAATATGGTAAAATGGTAAGTTCAAGGTGTTTGATCCACCTAATGCAAAAGTGATCAGTGGTGACTCCATCACACGATCCAAGTTGAGGTGCAAACCCGAGATAACCTGAAGGACCGTTGCAACAAAACTCAAATTGAGTTTATCATTATCAAGAAGCCGTACGAGAGTAGGAGATGGTTCGTCAAAGATGACAGTACTATAGTAACAAATAACGACTAGTTTGGTCAAGGCGTCCGCAAGAGTGTTGTTTGGACGAGGAGTCCATTGAATGTATGTTACCCAAGCGTTTCTCCAAGCCTTTCTCAATGGCACGAACAAGAGAGAAGAGCCACACATAATATATATTTTATCCAGGAGATTGGTTACCTCAAGGGAATCCGTTTGTATTAGAAGAAATTCGAATCTTAAGCAATCTGAAGACCAACAAATATAGCCCAAAGTTCGGCATAGAGTGGTCACACGATTCCATACGACTTAATGAAGTCTTATAACAAAGACCCTTCATATTGATATGAGTATGATCAACTTCAAGACTTGTCTTTGACAACTTATAATCAAAAACTTTAGCAATAAGATTCTCAAATCTCAAGTTGTTTAAATAATGTTTTTCTTCCTTCAAATGTTTAAATATAATTTTTTAAATATATACTTTTAAATAATTAAAAATAAAATTCATATAGCTAGATCGTTAATATGTGCTTATAGAAAAATCGCTTGCTACATTATAGAATCCATTGCATAATTTTAATAACATAACATATATTTTTAAGACTTAAAATATTTATCCAATTATTTTGAATAAATTACTTCAATTAGTTTCTTTGACATACATTAACCGTTAATTTTAATAACCTTTTAATCATTTATGTCACGAAGCAAATTTATTTTGTGACATTTTTAATATTTTAAAAGAATGATTTTCTTAAGAAAAATTAAAAATATAAAAATAAATATATACTACGAAATAGAAAGTCAATCTATGTCACTACCCGTGCACTACAAATGAGTTTTGGATTTAATCCATATAATTTATTCAATTTTAATTCATGAATTTTTTTATTAAACTAATGTGATTACAAAGAAATATATGTTTTAAATACTTTCAATCATTTGACAATGAACGCTCAATCAACCCTTATGCAATCGTTGATGCTTGAACACGTGATATTTAAGAATAACAACAATTTCTTTAACCACAGAGAAAAAACGATTCATGCGCTTAAAATGACTACCTATAGAGACAATTTTATCGTAATTCAAAATATAATATATATGCGATGATTACAAGCATTATATAAAGAAATCAATGATCTAATCTAAAGTAACGGTAGATCAACAAACAATGACCGACTATCATACCATCGTCGCCGGACAGCAAACAAAGTTTTAAAAGGGTTTAGGCAAAAGAGAATAAATCAGTACTTTCATGCAAATTTTTGGACTAGAACACTCGACTTATTCTGATTCCTCAACTCATCATCCTTGGAGATCACAAGGGGAAAGTTGTTCAGTTGCTCGGAACAATAGCTGAGAATAGTAATTTGTTAATATCCTCAGGCTCCGATTCCTGCATCTCCTCTCCTGAATCAATAGCATAAAATGCGTGTTAAAACGAAAGACAACGATGCAAACCTATGAATTTCTTAAGACCTGCGAAATTGGCTCATGCAATTCCATACGTACCATCCATCCCTCGTAAAGACGCAAAAGTTTATTAAGTAGCAGCAGTCCAAAGTATGCTTATATGCAAGTATTGAAACGACAAAACACACTATTAGAAGCGACAAATAGCTACATGTTGATGGTACTAAATGGGTTATGATGATCGTAAACGGTTCACTCCTTTTGGTAAGTGAAGGATCACAGTTAGTGATGGATTGATCGTTGACCAGTATCAAAGAATGTTATCTCCATAAGAAGGTAGAGCAGAGATGAATAAAGGTGAAGTACTTTTATAGATGTTGCATCCCGTCTCTAGGTTATGCTCGAGAAGTTTTAGAGTTACCTTTATTGTGTGTATCAGTCATAGGATTATAATGGCTACCTATAGACTAGCAAGACTAAGTGAATATAGTCAAGTGAGGGTAGATTTAGTTCTGGTAGATCACATTAGCTTGTCAGAAGTAATATTAATAAGTCACAGCTTCTTGAGATTTAGATCTTCGAGATACTCTCTCTGGAAACTTTCCTTTATATCTTCAATAGGTCTCTAGGTGACGGAGATTCAGAGGTATTTTAGGGGCCTTCGACAGATTATGAGGTGTGGGAATTAAGCATGCACTTCGGGCGGGGCACAACACTATAACATCTGAATCTTTTATAACTGAATAAATACGTACCACCTAGATGCAGGATGCCAAATCTTAAAGGGGCACAAAACCTAAGGCATAATTGCCAATGCAATCATTCGCTTAACAAAGTGAGCCAATGATATATATTTGTATATTGCTTGATACCCTTCCTTTTTCCTAATGAAAGAGAACGAAGAACGGTGTCTGCCATTATCGGGTAAAGCAACAAACTTACCTATTCTTGATCTGACTTGGACCGTCCACTCATCGATGATCTGCAAGAGGCAAATCATCAAAATGGTGAAAATCGCTTTCCTCTAATCATGGTTTAAGGGTGTGTTAATTCAGATACGAAGTGCCTATCGCCTAACATACTGAAAAGATTCAATTTATGTAGGCTTTGTTTTAAACTACCCATGGAACACCAAAGCATGGGTGTTTTATCTTAAGGAAAGCCCACCGATAATTTAATCTTGGTTGCTTGCTGGCAAGTGGTGCAACAACTATGGACACCACTTGGAAAATAGGCAACCTTAACAACTAGTGCATGGATCATTTAGCAGTGGAATCGAACAATATAAACGTAGGCTAAACCCTAGACCATAAAACAGTGTCGAAACAAACACGAGTCCGAACTGAAAAGATCAAAAGAACAAGGGAAACCTGATTGAAATTAGTCAACGCTGGATCATCAGAATCACTAGTGAGGGGAATGCCCGTTGATGCTTGCATACGCTGGACTAAATTTCTGTTCCCGACAAGAACGGTTCTAGCCTTATCAATCAAATCCTGAAAATGAACTCGGCAAATAAACAAAGCTAATTTTCCAATATCACCATTCTCTCAACTTCTAAAACAAAATTCCCCTCTGAAATTCAATAGATTTGATTAAAAGAAGGAAAAAACACCTGTTTGGCCGATAGAAGCTCACGGCACTGGTTGGTCAAGCTCGACAACTCTTCTTGCATCTTCTTTATTCGAGACACCAATTTCATAGGATTCGCCTGCAGTCAACACCCGCATACAATTCAAAATGAAGAGATGAGAAATCTAAGATGGAATTATAGAAAATTGTGGCTTACATTATCGGGATAAATTTGTTGAAACTCCTTCTCAAGCTTGTACTGAACTACAAGAAGATCATGGTTTGCTTTGGTGAACAAATTAACCAAATTATCAGCTGCTTGATGATGGCTATACTCCCCATAGTTCCGATTATGATCCATCCTTTCTCCCCCTTTCATTAGGGTTTTCTTCTTTTTAATTTGAGATGTGGAATTTACCGCCTCCTAGTCATATACATTTTTTTGGCTTTTAGTTTTCAACCTACGCGCTACTAAGAGCGGTGGTTAAATACCTCTGTTAACTTCCACCAAATTACAGTTCGCCATCTATCTTTAAATGGTGAAAGTACTTTTTCAGGTCCCTCTATTATAGGGTCTATATGAACTAGTTTCTATATTTTTAAATTGATCAATTTAATATCTCTTTTTATTTTGAAATTAATCAATTTAGTTCTATCAAATTTCAAATCGGTACGAACACCTGTAGGGGAATGCCCTTTTCTTTGATCTATGGGATAGAAACAATGTTTCAATTTGAAGTCGAGATTTCATTACTTCACGTCTTAATAAAATTTAAATTAAAAAAGTTAAATGAGTCCAAAACAAAAACAATCATAAATGAAGTATATTGGAAGGAATTTTTTCATGACTAAATATACCATAAATGAATTAGGGATGGTTATGGCTTGGTCGGATCAAATATTTAATTTATTATGTTGGTAATACAAAGAATTACACATTGGGTATGAATCGTTTGGTGTGGTCCGATTCGGTTCTTATGTGTTTCTTTTAGACAATATCCTTCTAGTAGAATATTATTTATTAGAGTTTATTTTACCGGTTATAATCTTTACAAAATATTTAATATAACTTATGGTCATTAGAATAATGTTTATGGCAATTATTTATTTTGTAATTGCTATTTGATCTTTTATCATTTTGACCGTATGTTGAGCCTATAAATAGATGTTTATTTTTTTCATTTCATATGCCACTTCAAGAGAAATATCTCTAAGCAATTCTTTGCTTTAGAAACACTCTCCTTTGTTTTTATAAACTTGTTCGGAGTGCCGTTTTAAGTTTTGAGAGAATATCACTACCACCTAGTCCACTCCATCTTTTAGGTGTACAGAATTTGAAGAGTCGTGCTAACTTCTGGGGACCATTTGTCCATTATAGCGATTACAGACATCGAGATGAATTCGCTTCTAAAACAGTAGATTACCACGACACGATTATTGTTCTATCAATTATTGTATTTAATATTTTCAGTCAGTGCTAATATCTCGTTTTGTAGTAATTTATTTTTTAATAATTTAACTCATATTATTTCTTTACTAATGTTGAGGGGATAATGGTTAAAATAATGTATTTAAAAAAGAAATTTCTCAAAATAGTCCATCTTAGGTATTCTTCCGCATACTAGGGTAATTGCTACAATACCTTTAGAAGATTCCAAGATTACATGGAGTCTTTAGTTCCAAGACTACTTTAACCTTGGAAAAGCTAACCACTCCAGGATTGCATGAAGTCTTCATCTGAAGACTCCAATATTAACATGTGTCTTTCCTTAATACTATAGCAATAACCCTATATCGGGAAATAATATGGTAAGAGCATTATACGAGAAATTATTTTTTTTTCCAATGCTGAAGCTAATATTTAAAACGCATTTTTGAGTGAATTAGTGTGTTAATTTAAAGCAAGGTGCTACTATTGCTTTGATTAAAATTTTGGTATCTTTTTGAAATGATGCATGAAAAATTGATAAGTATGATTGAGAATAGTGAGTAAGATATCATGCAGTTACATGCTATAATATTTATTTCTAGTTAAAATATATAGTTCAAAGCATGAATAAAAATGCTTTACTGAGAATAATTAGCGGTATAAAGAATGTTATAATAAGGATTGTACATATTATTTTTTCTCCATGAAATGTTATTGAAAATTTCTTGAATGATTATATGCGGTTATGAATCATGGAGCAATTAGAGACATTAAACACAATTACAATGGTAATTATACGTGGCTTTAATGTATCGAAACGTTGGTTCAAACAATTCCATGCATTTATAGCTTTAAATAGTGGATTTATATTACTTTATAAATTTGGATTCAAACATTGGATTTTTTAAGTAGCTATTAATTGAGCAAATTATAGCACTAATGAATTTTTTTTATAGAAAACATCTTTATTTACAAAGTAATATGCAGATTGAATTATTAGCCAATAGTTTTTCACTCATTCTCGGTTGGTCTTGGTTTACGAGAATACTGAAGTTGGTTTATTATTTCTTATAATAAATTTTGTATTGTTATAGAAATCCCCATTTAAAATGTGCTTGGTGAAAGTGTTTCTAGCTTTAAAAAGTGAAATCTACGACTTTTATTCATAATTTGATTATTAATATATGTTATTAGAAGTCATTTTTGACCTGCATTCTTTTTATGAAAAAAAAAATGCTTGTCTAAGATTGTAAGGAAATGCAACATTATACTTTATATGATTAGAAAGTGGCATATATGTTGCATGGAAATAATATAAAGTATCTCTTGAATATTTTCTTAAACAATGTTTATACATAATTATCACGTGTATCAGTTTTTTTAATAAGTTAAAGTGTTTACAAAATATTATCTATTCTAGGAACAACAACGATTCCTTTAACCATTGAGATAAGTTGGTTCGTGGCTATCACGTCAGTTGTTATGTCAAAATAAGCAACTATCTATTTTCATATGAGGGTAATATTTTTTAGTCATGAGAATCTAAGATGAAAATAATTTTGGTTTGTCGTACTAATAAGTTTTTTGAGACATTTATAAAGACATCAGGACATTTGCAATTTCAAAGAAGTAAGAAGATGATGAAGTTGAAATGGAAAATTGTCCAAATTTAATTGTTGTTAAATTCAAATTTGATTTCCACAATTTGTTGGAGATAAGAAACCAAAATACTAAAGATAAGGATCTTGTTACTATTAGTAAATTATTTTTATTTTATTTTATCATTGTTAGTAAATTATTTTCATAACTAACCACATAAAATCTTCATTTGATTTTAGAAGAGATGTTGATTCAAATGAAGTGACCGTCACGATAAATTTTGGGATCATTCTGGTTCAATATGATCTGAAGAGTAAAGATCACATGCATGATGAGAATGAGCAAGTCTACTTGAATATTATGATTCTACCCACGAGTTCAAACTATTTAGACTTGTTGTTTATTAAGTTCAAGCTTAGAGTGATACATGAATTAGTTTAAATGAGCCTTTAAGTTAGTCTTTTAAACTTAGGGAAAATACTATGAAACAAGATAAACCACTGGTAAAGACTAAGGTAGTGAAAAACTACTAAGGATAAGGTAGTAGTGAGCCCAAAATGTGTATGCTTAATAAGATATTGTTGTGAGTAAAAGTATCAAACATAATTCTTTAAAGAGACATTAATTAAAGGAAGAGAAAATTCATAAATGAATTATTGAAAAATTAGTGTGGTGAGTATGAAAGTGCATGTCTAGGATTGGTTTCATGAAGACCTGGTATTTAAGTATGCCCAGTGTGTCACCTCTCTTTCATAGAAACCTACACGGTGAACTATTCATTACTATGCTCACTTTTCTAATTTATAAAATACCATGACAATTAAACTCTCTTTAAACTTAGTGTAAAAGTAAAAAGAGTATATATTAATTTGGTTGAGTGGGATACCAAATTTACATATAGTAAATAAATGTGTGATGGTCTCTTTAGGGCTAACATGTTGAGTAATATGAATGAAAAAAAATGATAGACACTAGTGCTACTGAAATTTTGGTTTGTAGCCATTTCGTACACTCTTAAATAGAGAAAATGAAAGAAGATGTATATCCTAAGGAGTTGGGTTGAAATCTCTTTGTGAAATACATGAGATAATTTTTCTGTTGTTAGGAAAAGTTGAAAACTCCTAATAAATATTTTCATAATATTCATAATTTCCTAAACACTTTTTAAGAAGAATTAGAAAAAGTGAAAATTCTTTTGAATGAGAAAAAGTCAGAAATACTACTGACGAGATATAAGCAAATTTCATAATCTTTTGAGATTATGCATACTAATCTTGATGATTAGTAATTTTTCAAAATTTTGAGAATATAATTAGGGTAAAGTATAATAATGATCACTGAACTTTTCTAAAGCTTTAATTTAGGTCCCTCAACTTTTAAAACTTACAATACAGTCCTCCAACATTTAATCCGTTTGCAATATGGTCCCCACTGTTACACTGTCGTTAGTACGTTTGCAATATGGTCACTTAACTTTTCAGGCGCTTGCATTTAGGTCCCCCAACTTTTAAAACTTGTAACGCAAACCTCAATTTCATTCTAAACCCCAAATTCCTTTTCGATCTCGAATTTCCTTTTTGGCTTCTCTTTTCTCATTTCCAGCGTAACTTTTCAGTTGGGGATGCATGGGAAATTCTAATCTAACTTTGAATTATGTTGAGGTATTGACTTGAATAAGGGTCCATTGAGAGAAGTCCCGACCAATGGACTATCGAGACCATCAACAATTCAAGGTGTAATGTTAGATACATGTCATCTCAGGTGAAACATAGATGTTCGATGAAATGTTTGTGAGAAAAACATGGGGTTAGAAATGCAAAGTTGCCAAGTACTACTAAGATGAACTAAGTATCATTGTTGAAAGTCACAAACAAAGCTGAAATTATTTTGTATAAATGTCATATAATAATTTCTTCATTTGATCTTTGTGGTTAAAGATTTTCCAACAGATGATCAAATATAATGAAATCCCAAACAGTGCATTCACCTCTCAGACTCTTTCGCAACTCGAAAGGCATCATGATAGGGTCAAGTAGCTACTATAAATATACTACCATGTCATGATGCCTTTCGAGTTGCGTGCATGCAGAATTGTATTCTAAAGCTATGATTCAATACAATTCATCTGTAAAATTTCCAAAACATGTAAAAAAATCCAATTTGTTCACGATATATCAGTCCTATAATCAACATGAACTTATTAAAAAGAATATGAGCTCACAGGACGCCGAAAACCATAAGTTGGATCAATACAATTCCTAGTAAACTAGTATCAGCAGTCTCTCAGATTGAGCCTGGCGATTTCACTATGTTGATACTCGCATCCAATTCCCTGATTTAAAGAAAAACCAAACAAGAAGATCAAAAACATTTAGCCTAGGACCCTTTTTCACTTCTATTCTGATGGACTG